TTTAGTTCATCTCCTGGACGTCACGATCTGTTTGGCGTTGAAGATCTCCTCCTTCATGTAGATCGTAACCTTCTTCACGCATGGGAAGCTCCGGGACGCGACGGGAACACTCTACATCAGCGTATAATCTTTGTTTTCCCTCTCGATCGCTCCAACTAATTCCCAGGGACCTGCTTCATTTTTATAGCCCAATTGAAACCCAATCCTAGTACGGATAGGTTAGTAGAAGTTGGCTTGAATACAACTCCTTATTCTTGATCCACAAGAGTTGGTATTCCTTAACACGTACAGCTAGAGGTATTATCATGTAGTCACAATCCCAATAGGTCTCTGATTCGGATTGCAGTTTAAAGTCCCGTGCACAGACTTCTGATCTCAAACAGTGTGTTGCAACATCGTGTTGTAGCATCTTCTATGTTAACCTAAAAAACTGTAGCAATTCTAGAAGTCTAAATAAAATGAACCTCTCCTAACAAATAGAGGTTTCTACCTATTAAAACACCTAACAAATATGGAATTCTATTTTGCCAAAAGATTAGTCAACACCATGGAACTAACAATCTCCCCCTTTGGTAGTTTTTTTTGCAAAATACATCGTGCATCATGCGCATAAAAAATTAAAGCATCTTTTAAGAACTAAGCCTTTTCTCCCCCTTTTTGACACAACATATGCCAAATTTATTTAGGATAAAAAAAGAAAAGTAATACCAAGTTCTTTTAGGAGCATACATCAATCACAAGCGCAGAACAAAAATAAAATCTACCATTATGATCCATGCACGTGCTTCCCATTTGAATTTGCTAGAGCTTCATCCTATTTTTGAACTCCCCCTTAGGATTTGTATCAATACCACATCTTGCTAGATCACCATGGTTGTATGCAATGAACCACCCAACGATCAAGCTAATAACTTAAGCTCAACTGCTCCGATACCATTGTAAGTTCGTGGGGTGTAGTGGAAATGACCAATTGAAAGCTATGCAAACAGATCAAACAACTACGCTGTAGAGAAGATACTGCAGCACTGTCACAGTAACAAATGACAGACAATGTGCTATAACATCTTCTCTATCACAAGCACACACACAGAATATAAAATAAAAGCAGTAAACAGTGCACAAGAATTGTATACGCAGTTCGGAGGACCTCTCCTACATCTACGGGGCCCATGTTCGTGTAATAGCCCTCTACTAAATCACTAGATGCAAGTTACACCGGTACATAACAACATGATGAGACACACTTCTCCGAATTGTTATGACAAAACTTTTAATCTAGGATTTCTAACAAGTACCCTGTACGGATCCACTACGACTATCACATCGCCACTGAGATCATGAAGACAAACGTGTTGTCAGCCCACTCGTTCAGCTCTAGTTCATCTTCTAGACGTCACGATCTATTTAGCGTTGAAGATCTCCTCCTTCATGTAGATCGTAACCTTCTTCACACATGGGAAGCTCCGGGACGCGACGAGAACACTCTACATCACCGTATAATCTTTGTTTTTCCTCTCGATCGCTCCAAGTAATTCCTAGGGACCTGCTTCGTTTTTATAGGCCAATCGAAACCCAATCCTAGTACGGATAGGTTAGTAGAAGTTGGCTTGAATACAACCCCTTAATCTCGATCCACAAGTAGCCTAAAGAGTTGGAATTTCTTAACACGTACATCTGGAGTTATTATCATGTAGTCACAATCCCAATAGGTCTTTAATTTAGATTGCAGCTTAAAGTCCCGTGCATAGACTTCTGATCCCGAACAGTGAGTTGCAGCATCGTGTTGTAGCATCTTCTGTGTCAACCTAAAAAACTACAGCAACTCTAGAAGTCTAAATAAAATAAACTATTCCTAACAAATAGAGGTTTCTACCTATTAAAACACCTAACAAATATGGGATTCTATTTTGCCAAAAGATTAGCCAACACCATGGAACTAACATATAGAACTTCTATTTTTGTATTTTTTTTCTATGATTTAGTTATATTTAAGGTGATTTCTAATGTTTAAATGGTCCAAGGTCCACACCTAAAATGTATACCTTCTCACATTTTTCATGAGTTTCATTTGGATATATTTTGTTTTTTAAAAAGACCTACTTCTTTTGTACTATAAATGTACTAAGGTTCATATAATAAATTTGTGCTCTACTTATGACTACCAAACGAGGTCAATGATGTTAAGAGTATATTATGGGGAAAAGTTTGAAAGAGTAAATGCTCGGTATGCGGTTTCTCGTACTATTTCCTAAGATAACTAATTATTGAGCTAGATGGTACATCGAGTTCCATCTAGTTTCTTCAAGTTTTTCCATTTTTTTTTCAGTTTCTTCCAATTCTTTCCAGTTTCTTCCAGCTATTCTCATTTTCTTCAAACTCTTTCTATTCCCTAACTAATTACATTAAAAACGATATATTTTTAATGTGATTATTATTATTATTACAACTATTATATTCATAACTATAATTTATAAATTATTTTTTTCATCTCACTATTTTTATGATTCACACTCAACATCTTTTCTTCAACTTTTTAATATGAATAAGACAATTTTTTGTATATAAATCTACATGATAAAATAGGAAACATTAATATTTTAAAGGGGTAATAGCATGAGTGCCCCCAGTTGTTTACAAAAGGAGCGCCAAAACCCCTTCTACTTTCAAAAGTGTTAGAAAACATTTTCACATTGATGTTTTGTGAATATGAGTCTTTTGGGTCTACTTTTGACAATCATTCCTCACATATTTCATAGCTTTACATTGTATCATTCCATAAATTTTTTACATAACATTTAAGAGCCATTTCTTGAGAAATTGCGTGTATTCTTGATCTAAATTAGTTTACTCATATTCTACTCTTTAAGAGAGTTTTGTTCTTGAGTGATTGAGTGTTGTAAACACTTGACGTGAGGTTTGTTCCCTTGGTTGTACGAAGGAAGGGTATATTCCTTCGGGTTGAAGTCTTGGAGTGCGGTATCTCCGAGCAAGTGTGTTGAGGCTCGTGGGACTCGAGTTCTCAAGTTGTAACGGATTGTTAAGCACCCTTAAGCTTAACGGAAGTAGTGTAGCTCGAGGTAATATCTCGGGGGACTGAACGTAATATTATTATTTTTACTTTGTACGTAATATTTTATTTTTCATTTTTCTGAAACATTCTCCAAATTTTTTTTTGTACATATGAAAAAAATTCTCAAAAAATGAAAAATAAAATAATATGTACAAAGTAAAAATAAAATTTAATTTTTCGTTTTTTTGAAACATTCTCCAAAAAAATATTTTGTTTTCAAAAGTACATTATGAAGAATTCTAATTTGAGATGTGAAGCGTATATTTTATTTTATATATTTGTATAACAAAGGAAAATAAAATTTGGAAAATTCAAGATTGGGAAAAAGAAAGGGCATAAATGTCACTTTTGCTTTAAAAATAGATAAGGGGGCATGTGTACTCTATTTAGAAATCATAGAGACTTTAAAAATAACTTTTGAAAACATTAGGTGTTTTGACACCTTTTTGTAAACCACGAGGGACACTCATTCTATTAGCCCATATTTTAAACTATATTAAAAAATTATGGATAAAATAGTTGCATAGAATGTTTTATTAATCTAACCTTATATAAAACCCTCACTTTTTCCTTAATTAATCAATTCTTTCATTTTTATTTATTTCAAAATTAAATTTTTTTTCATTTTTCTATATTTTATAAAAAAAATTGAAAGTCAAAAAAATTTAGAGAAAAAGACTAAAATAGGAGTAAAACATTTAAAAAAAGTACAAAAAAATTGTATCTTTATTCCAAGAGTAGGAGTTACAATAAAAATAAAATGTGAATCGTGAGAGAAAAATATGTTTGATTACATTATGTGACATGGCTGATATTTAACATAAATCTTATAATATATAAAATATAATTACAAATATATTATTTTATAATAAGTACTGCATAAATAAATTGAGTAGCAACGTAACCGCAATAACTTTTTAGAATTTAACATTTTAATATTTATGTTAACTTTAAATTCTTTTTGTTTTGCAAAAGTAGTTTTTTTTGTGAATGAAAAATGAGAATACTTTTTTATTTTAATGACATTCATTAAGATAACGTGGTGATAATAACAACAACAATAACAATATTTTATAACAACAAGAATTAGAATGAGAATTATATAAAAATACACTAAAATAAATTTTTTTAAAGTTTTTTTAGGTTTTCTAATTTTTTAAAATTTTTCCAATTTCTTCTAGTTTCTTGCAATTTTTTCCAGTTTCTTCCAACATTCAACATTCTTTTTCCACTCCTAAAGAACAGACTCTAATTGAAATTAAATTGTAGTTTAATCTCCTGACGGATGAGTAACGATTGTCAAACAGTAGCAAAATGAAGTTAAAATTTATTATATTTTTACAAAATGTTCCTTCCTAAATTGGGCCTTTTCTTAAACTCATCTATTTTTGAAATAAAAACTCATTGGATATGTTAAATCATAATTGGAGTCTTCACTTCTAATTAGTTTAAGATGTATGACTGAAACCAAAAGACCATTTTTAGTAAGTTTTTATTTAAAAAATAAACGGATATTGGAAAAGCAAAAACACACGATTAAAAAGGATCATTTTGAAAAAATAGTATTCCCTCAGTCCCAAAATAAATTGTATGTTTCTTATTGACAGAGTCAAACTTTATTCACTTTATTTTCCTATTTTCGTTAGTAATTTGATAAAATAATATAGTCATGTCACGACTAATTTTATAGTCATTTGATAAAATAATATACTAATGGACGACTTCAAAGACTAGGGGGTCAGTGGTGGAGACCGCCGGCCGAAGTGGTTTTCCGTTGAGATCGGCACTGCCGCAGTAATCCGTTGTTCTCCGCCGCTTATGAATTCCTCGCTGAAGTACAACACCACGAGGAGTAATAGCTTGATCTCCATGCCGCTTTTTCCTTGAACGGAACAACGGATGGAGCAGAAGCCACACAGACAAAGCGTACCAGATTCATCAGAGCACAAATACCTTAAACTTTGGATGAACCCTAATAGTAGGAGAACACATGTACATAAAGAATAACAAACATGATTAAATTCATCTAAAAATCAGTCATAAATATAGGCACGCCGCCACCACTGGATGATAGACCAGTCAAGGCGGTGAGGTGACCGTCGGGAATCCAGGGACCACATCTTACAAGCCTAAAATCTATGTTTTTATAGCTCCAAAAAACAACAAAGGTTGACATTTATTGAAGGTATTGTGTGAATAGGACACTTGAACTTGCCTAAAAATGTCTGAGCATATCCTTGGAAGTTCTATTCACCAAGTTTTCGTGGCCCAAAACTCAGCACAAAAGATCATTAATAATCAGCAACACTCCAGAAGCTTCATAGGATGTTGTAACAAATAAAGCTTTCCATTAGACAGAGACCTGTTACGTGCACGAATCACAAGAGAAGACAAACAGATGAAAGTGCACAAAGAGAGGATTTAGAGAAACAGAGTTTTAATATTGACTAAAAATTTAAAATAACGTTCATGCACTTATATTATGTATGCTAACAACATTTTAGCCAAAACAGAAGAGAGTTTTCATATGGACACTATAACTAAAAGTCAACAGCAATTCTTGTTTCCTTCCTTTCACGCTTGAAGCAGAGTTTTCATACTGACATCTGCCAACATTGTAGCAAGTTCGATATTACTTTGCAATGAAGCAGAAGAGCCCTATTCAGATTCCTTTCAACTCATGATACCAAGCACAAAGTGCTGATATGAGGTTGAGACAAAAGACAAAAAACTTAGTGTTATTTTAAACCCACTACATAGTGGAAAAATTTATATAGCACAAAATGACTTGATCTCCAATATATGAAAAGAGTTGGAATTCTCATTACATCAATATATACAGATTAATGAGAAGAAATTGAATGATGATGAAATTACCTCAAAAAACATATGGGGTTTCCCGCAAGGCCCTCAAATACCAAATGTGTCTGAATAAACGGCCACTGTATGATGGTGTTCATTCCAGCGAATTGCTTTCCTAGAAGGATCTCTGTTTTGTAAACAGAGATAAGGAACACATCTCTGTTGAAGAAGAGGCAATCATGGACGAGGAAGAGGAAGGGGATGAGGAGGAGGACGAGGACAAGAACAGGGAAGACTCGACATAACTTTTTCAGGTTGGGGATGAAGATGTATGGGAGACTAAATGCTTCTCGAAGTATTGGAAACAGAATTGGTGTTTGTATTACAATATTGATGACGACTTTTACCGACTATCTAAAGATTATTTGAAGCCTGGGGAGGATCCCCGTTCACGAAGCAGATCCTTTCAGTTAAAGGTAGTGACTTAATTAATTCATTTATGACATATATATTTTGCTTGATTACTCATTTTTTACAAGTGATTGTTTGATTATTTTCTTTTGTTTAGATGCGTCATTCGTTAATGTATGAACCACGTCCCTTCTCAGACGAGTTCTGGAAAGCTAGTAATGGTGCGAGATTAGCCATTGAGTTTTTCAGTAATGACAACCTGGTTAATTTTGTTTTCTTCGATTTCCTAGTAATGACTAATATTACCTAGAGTATGTATTTAGTTATCATTCATGGCGTCTTCTATTTTACCTTTGTTTGCTTGTTATAGATGGGAAAAAGTATTGAGTTTGAATCACTCTCCAAGCTAAGCATCGGTACAAGAAGTTATAAACATTCGGGTACTGTATACTTCATTTCATTTGTGGCAACTGAGAGAAATTCCGGGTTGTAGAGAGAATTCCAAACTTCATTTTTTCGGGCTGATGCACACTGGGACATTTTGTATTTGAAGGCCTTGCAGGAAACACCATATGTTTTTTGAGGTGATTTCATCATTATTCAATTACTTCTCATTAATCTGTATATATTGATGTAATGAGATAACTCTTTTCATTTTAGCTCTGTAATATCAAGAATGAAACGTGGAGCATGGAGGTGAAGTCATTATGTGCTATATCAGTTTTTCCACTGTGTAGTGGGTTTAAATAACACTAAGTTTTTTGTCTTTTGCCTCAACATCATATCTGTTGGGGAAAAAAGGGACAATTTTTCAGCAATTTTCCCGTCTAGACCACCTTCAATTGATGTAACGAGGAAAAAGTCTTCAATTGGAGAAAATCCTTGAGCAAAAATACTTACTACATGAAATTTGTTACACCAAACAATACACTATATTTTTCCTAATCCAACTTTGCTTCTTCTTCAATTTTCTAAACCGTCAAGCCAAAAGGAGTTGCCATGTTTGACTTTTCCTTTTTTTCTTTTTTTCTAACATGACTAACAAATCTCCACCTTTGAAAAAGAAGAAAAAATATCATATCTTGGCCCTTTTGATTGTCCGGCTACACCAAACAGAGTCAATTTCTCCACCCGACTCTAACATCGGCCAACCATGTGCAACTGCAATCTTCACATATTGTCTGCTACCTACAATCATAATTCTTAATACAAGAATTAACATACTCCCACCATAAAGAGTATATCCTCTCAGATTGAATTTCACCAATCCTAGAATTTTCACTTGAAATCACTTTCTGATTTCAAGAATTTCACTTTCGGCACAGGTCAAAAAAATCTGCTAATCACTTATGGTGCAACCCTCTTGTTGACTTTTCTGAGAGTTCATTACCTATCGACATCATTTCCACCACACACCATGGCATCACCTGTCAACCAATGCCCATGTGCAAACCTATGAATCAGCTACCAAATAAACATCCTCTTCCATGGCAATTCTAACGATAGCATTCATTACACGAGGATTCTTTTATCTTTCTTACAAAGAAAGATCATCCCCTCTCCTTGGGAGATAACATTGGCAACATTACCTTTAAAGCTTCCAGCCGAACTAGCCCCATTATTTAAACACTTATTCCTAACATGTCCCAATTGATTACATCCCCAGCAAACGACCACGCGTAATCCAAATTGGATTAACACATACTTGACTTGCACTTGCTCCGAGCCAAATTCATTTCTACCATCAAATTTCTCAATCTCAAAATGAAAACATCTTTATGGGACGAAGGGAGTAATTGTTGGTGTATAGTAGTTAAGGCAGTTGCACTTATTTTGCTGTTTTGGTTAATTAGTTAGGCGGGCTGTTATGATAGATCAGAGTTTGTTATTTTCTCTTCCTCCCTTTATATTTGTACCCCTATTGGACTTCTTCATTTTTACACAGAATTTTACGGCCTTCTTCTTCTTCTTCATTTTGTTCTTTCCTTCTGTGATTTCTTTAGCACATCTGGAAATCCAACATGGTATCGGAGCATGGATGAATTGAACAATTAGGTGATTCAATTCCAGTTCTCCTTTTTCTTCGATTTCCAGTTGCACAATCGATTTCCTCTTCTGCGATCATGTCGTCATCTTCTTCTCCATCCTTCCGATCATCCTGGTCTGATTTTGATTTCCACCAAATTCACAGGTGAAGGATTTGGATCCTGGTAGAAGTCCATGACGATTGCTTTGTCGGCGAAGAACAAACTAGGGTTTGTTCAAGGTACAATCAAGAAACCTGATGATTCCTCAAACCGAGTCAATCACTGGCGGCGATGCAACGACATGATAACCTTATGGATCCTCAACACACTTAGTAAAGAGATAGGAGACAGTGTCTTAATGCTGAAAACGTTGTTGAACTATGGAACGAGCTTGAGGATAGATTTGGGCAATCAAATGGCGCAAGATTCTTTCAACTTTAGAAGGAAATCTGTTCTATCACCCAGGGAAACTCAGATGTTGTTATAATTTTCTCAATTGAAGAAGAAAGAAAATGAAGAAGAAGAAGAACATATACTCTCATTCATTTCGCGCAAACTACAAAGGGAGAGCATTCGAGTCTTATATACACGAAGAGCCAAGAACAAAACTAATTAACAGAAAGATAACTAAAAGCCTATAAAAGGGGAAAAGTAGTTGAGACAGCTGGCAATTGAAGATTGGGACAGCTGGCATTTAGTTGAGTCTTCACAACAACGGAAGCTTGACTCTTCTTCCCCCCCCCCCCCTCAAGCTAGGTGGTGGAGAAACCATCCCCAGCTTGAACAAAAGCTTGTTGAACTGATCAGCAGGAATGATTTTGGTAGGGGCATCTGCAAGTTGGTTGGCTGTAGGAAGATATGAAAGATCAATGAGACCTTCAATGACTTTCTCTCGTGTAAAATGGCAATCAATGTCAATGTGCTTTGTTCTTTCATAGAAAACTGGATTTCTAGCAATATGCAAGGCTGATTGGTTGTCACAGTGAAGAGTAACTGGCTTCAAATTTGGAACTTGAAGTTCTTCCAGCAAAAGCACCAACCATGTGATTTCTGAAGCTGCCTGAGACATAGCTTTGTATTCAGCTTCTGATGAGGACCTGGAAACAGTGCTTTGTTTCTTGGATTTCCAAGAAATGGGGGGGTCCGCCAAGTAAAATGACGTAACCAGTGACTGAACGTCGTGAGAAAGGGCAGGAAGCCCAGTCAAAATCAGAGAAGGCATGCAAGGATAGCTGATCAGATCCTTTCATTAAAATGCCTTGATCCTTTGTACCAAGAAGGAAATGAAGCAAATGAAGAGCACCTTTCATGTGTGAATCCTATTAGGAGCACCTTTCATGCCTTGATCCTTTGTACCTCAGGAGCTTGCATAAATTGACTCCAAAGTTGAACAGAATATGAAATATCAGGATGAGTGTGTGTGAGGAAATTGAGTTTTCCTATTAAACTCCTATATGCATGTGGGTCAGCACATGGGGCAGATGTACCATGTTGAAATTTAGTGTTTAGAGGAAGAGGAGTCTTCACAGACTTGTCATGTAAGCAATGATAATCAGCAATTAACTTCTGTGTGAATTTCTTTTGGGAAAAAATAATGCCTGCTGAGGTGTAAGTGAGTTCAAATCCAAGGAAATAATGAGCAAGACCAAGATCCTTAATTGTGAAGCTGTCATCAAGAAACCTTTTGATAGAAGCAATGGCCATGGGATCAGATCCAGTAAGGAGAATATCATCAACATAAACAGCAAGTGTGATGTGATCAGTAGAGGATTTGATGAATAGGATGGGATCAGACTTAGACTGAACATATCCTTGGGAATAGAAAGCAGTAGAGAGTTTTGTAAACCACTGTGTACTAGCTTGGCGAAGGCCATAAAGTGATTTCTTCAAGCGACACACTTTGCCAGAGGGACTGGGAAAACCTAAAGGAACCTTCATATATACCTCATCCTTCAAGTCCCCATGCAGGTATGCATTATTTATGTCAAGTTGAGATAGTTCCCAATGTCTAGAAGCTCCCAAAGCAACAATGCAATGAATAGTGGACATTTTTACAACTGGAGAGAAAGTTTCAGTAAAGTCAATGCCATAGCATTGGTAATTGCCTTGAATAACAAGTCTT